TGTCCGACTGGGAGGAGACCCTGGGGAAGACCCAGCACACGCTGGAGAGACTATGTCTCTCAGTTGGCCTGGGAATGCCTTGGAGTTTCTTCAGAAGAACTGGAAGAGATGGCTGTGGAACAAGATGTCTGGGCCTCCCTGCTCAAGCTGCTGCCCCGGCAACCCGACTTTGGAATAAGCGGAATTGGATGGATGGATGGATGAAGATAAGATAATATAGAACTTTATTTGGTCCCAAAAGAAATTGTTGTGCCAGAGTTTCAGTACACAGGAACATATACAAGGAATCACACAAGATGTAAAAAAAATAACAGAGAATATAAAATACCAACAATTAAGGTCTAAAGCAGGTCAGGTGCAGATAGAAACATTAAAGTCTTTATTGTAGTGCAAGATTAATTTTATTGTCCTATGTGTACAGAGGGGGAGGAGTTGAAAAGTTTAAATGACTTCCTGTGGCGTTCTGTGGAGCACCTCGGTGGTCTCAGTCTACGACTGAATGTGCTGCGGTAAGAGTCCAGTGTAGCATGCAGGGGGTGTGACTAGTTATTCAGGATCTGGAGCAGTTTCCTCAGCATCCTCTGCTCAGACACCTCTCTCAGAGACTGTAGTTCCACTCCCAGAATTGAACCAGCTCTCTTGATGAGTTTATTAAGTCTGTTGACAGCCTTTAATTAATATCCACAAATCCACAATTAATAGTGGATATTGATGAAAGGGGTCTGGGTTGTGGCTTTCTAACAGGATTTATAACCTGGACCATTGAGAAAGACATCAAGAAGACTCAGCGAGAGGAACCAGACCTTGGAACACACTTACCAGGGAGGCTTTTTGTCCCCAGTACAATCAAGATTTGAGACTAAGGTACTGGACTGAATACATTCCTCCAAAGTTACTTGTCATCTAGATATCAGTTGTATGCTACTTTTCACTAAGACATATTTTTGGTGGCTGTCTATGACTAACAATGTTAAGGAATTTGTTGCAGCATGTCTTATGTGTGCTCAAAACAAGAACTGCACCAGCCTCCAGCTGGGCTGATACAACCACTACCTTGTCGCTCTTGGTCCCACATTGCCATTGATTTCATAACCGGATTGCCTATATCTGAAAGTAACTTTGTCATCCTCACCATCATAGACCAGTTCTCTAAAGCAGTACACTTTGTTCCTTTACTTAAACTCCTATCAGCACTTGAGATTGCTCAGGTCCTTGGGTCCCACATGTTCCGACTTCATGGCATCCCCTGTGACATCGTCTCTGACAGAGGTCCCCAATTCATACTCAGGTGTGGAGATCTTTCTGTTGGGCTTTGGGAGCTACATCTAGCCTCAGCTTCTGGGTGTAATTAAGGACCTTGGGCCCAGATCTTCTCTGCTGGAACATTACACTACATTTGAGTAACAAGTGACAGCCCTAAGACTCTTGTCGAAGAAAGTCTTGACTAACCTGAATTTACCTTGTGCCCTCTAGTCCTATTCCTGTGTTTTCCCTCAGTGGAAATCCTGACTTCTCGTGCCTGCAACACTGTGCTTCATTGTGGAGCCTCAGCCTGGACACTACTCGTTCTCCTTGCCGTCAACCTACAATAACATCATCGGATCAATTTCCTGGGTCTTAGTCCAGCCACTCTCCCTCTCTTCACACTCACCATCTCCATTGATGCTTCTAACTCATCCGAGATTCCTCGTCCTCCACTCTATACCTGAGAAACAGAACGTGGAAGTAAACAAGTTGTCCTGAACATCTATTTCTCTTAAAATATTTGAACAACATGCTCACCTGATCTGCGTTCACTTTCAGAAACTCTACTTGTGTGGCCTGTTCTCTTTTTGTCAATCTCTCTATTCTGGGTATAAAAACTAATCAAATATGACAGAGGGGATTTGGGTGATGCGAGCTTGAGGGCGGGGGGAGCTGGAGGGGTTGTTCGCCCAGTGCACCAAACAGGCTAAGACCACTCCTTAATGTGAGGTCCAGAACAGAACCAGATCTGGTTTTAATGCAGAGGACCCTGAGAGCCTTGTCCTTTAAGCTCAGAGATTTCTGCAGATTGTTCTAATCTGCTGATCAGATTATGAACTGGAGATGGTGAAGATGAACGTCTTTCATTCAGGAACATTATTCTGAAATTCATTCAGAAACTTTATTCTGAAATTGTTCCACTAATTTTAAACAGACTTCTGAGCCTCTGTCCATCTTTACTTCTGACAGATTTGGACCTTTTCACTGACTTGTTGCAAATTAACTTAATTTCAAAATGATCCTCCAGCTGTTTATTCTTCATATAATCCAACCCCCCCC